AAACTGTTCCTCCCCATGACATGTAACAGCAAAAGTGGAAATTGATGATGATGATGATGATATTCCTGAAGGGACTGTGGTTAACATACTCTCCTACAGGTCTGGTAGATGTGTGTCTGAATCCTTTATAAGCAGCAACTATATTTTATTTTACTTAGGCTCTCAGGTCAACCCAGCCTAAATTGATCAGCAGGGAATGTTCTGGGATATCCAGACATGCTCAAAGATCTGAACATCAAGGAAGACTGGCTAGCAAACAGCATCTTGTCTCAAAAAGTGAAATATACCGGCCATATCAAGCACCATGGCAGATTGGGAAAAGTAATAGCGGAAGGCATGGTACCAGGACAGAGGGGCAGGGGCCAACCAGCACAAAGATGGGCACGGGATAAAAGTGATACTTTGGGTGGGAAAGTGAACGAGGCAGCAAGAGACTTGTTCTTTCATGCAGGTTGTGATGAGAGCAATGTTTGGCAAAGGAACTGCTACCTAATGATGAGAGCAATGTTTGGCAAAGGACCTGCTACCTAATGATGAGAGCAATGTTTGGCAAAGGACCTGCTACCTAATGATGAGAGCAATGTTTGGCAAAGGACCTGCTACCTAATGATGAGAGCAATGTTTGGCAAAGGACCTGCTACCTAATGATGAGAGCAATGTTTGGCAAAGGACCTGCTACCTAATGATGAGAGCAATGTTTGGCAAAGGAACTGCTACCTAATGATGACAGCAATGTTTGGCAAAGGACCTGCTACCTAATGATGAGAGCAATGTTTGGCAAAGGACCTGCTACCTAATGATGACAGCAATGTTTGGCAAAGGAACTGCTACCTAATGATGACAGCAATGTTTGGCAAAGGAACTGCTACCTAATGATGAGAGCAATGTTTGGCAAAGGAACTGCTACCTAATGATGACAGCAATGTTTGGCAAAGGAACTGCTACCTAATGATGAGAGCAATGTTTGGCAAAGGACCTGCTACCTAATGATGAGAGCAATGTTTGGCAAAGGACCTGCTACCTAATGATGAGAGCAATGTTTGGCAAAGGACCTGCTACCTAATGATGACAGCAATGTTTGGCAAAGGACCTGCTACCTAATGATGACAGGCAGCCAGCATGATTCTAATAACATCACTCTTCAAGTGTCAGTTGATCTAAAATTATGGAGTCAGCAGCATATACCCAGGAGGTATGGACCCAGGAGGTATGTACCCAGGAGGTATGGACCCAGGAGGCATGGACCCAGGAGGTATGTACCCAGGAGGTATGGACCCAGGAGGTATGTACCCAGGAGGTATGGACCCAGGAGGCATGGACCCAGGAGGTATGGACCCAGGAGGTATGGACCCAGGAGGTATGTACCCAGGAGGTATGGACCCAGGAGGCATGGACCCAGGAGGTATGGACCCAGGAGGTATGGACCCAGGAGGCATGGACCCAGGAGGCATGGACCCAGGAGGCATGGACCCAGGAGGTATGGACCCAGGAGGCATGGACCCAGGAGGCATGGACCCAGGAGATATGGACCCAGGAGGTATGGACCCAGGAGGTGTGGACCCAGGAGGCATGATGGACCCAGGAGGTATGGACCCAGGAGGCATGTACCCAGGAGGCATGGACCCAGGAGGCATGGACCTAGGAGGTATGGACCCAGGAGGCATGGACCCAGGAGGCATGGACCCAGGAGGTATGGACCCAGGAGGCATGGACCCAGGAGGCATGGACCCAGGAGATATGGACCCAGGAGGTATGGACCCAGGAGGCATGATGGACCCAGGAGGCATGATGGACCCAGGAGGCATGATGGACCCAGGAGGTATGGACCCAGGAGGCATGTACCCAGGAGGCATGGACCCAGGAGGCATGGACCTAGGAGGTATGGACCCAGGAGGTATGGACCCAGGAGGCATGGACCCAGGAGGCATGGACCCAGGAGGCATGGACCCAGGAGGTATGGACCCAGGAGGCATGGACCCAGGAGGTATGGTTGCGTAGTGGCTAGTCACTCATCTGCAGGTTTAAAGGTCTAGGATTAAAAAGAATTTGCAGAATGTGTAGCTGGCTGCTAAAAGCGCCACACCAAGCATGAACTCCAAAGCCCCAGCAATGATCCCTGCGCTCGCGAAAAGACTAAAATGTCCATGAAACAAACCCAAGATCCTGACAGCCTGAGGCAAGCAGCCAAGGGGACTCCAAGCCTATACTATACTGAAGGAAGCAATCATAAACCTGGCTGAAACCATTCACACAAATGGATGCAAGACTTAACAATAAATGATTGAATTAATCTAATTTTTATAAATAGATATTTTAACCCTGAGTTGCAAAAATGCTGGCTGACAAAAATATAAATTATCAAACAGCTGTTTTTTCTTCATCTTCCACTTCTTTTTCTGAGTTTGCCCTGAACTATTTTTAATCCCACAAGTGCTTGCATAACTCAGACGAAGTTATGAGTGGCAAAACTAAACTCATTAGTATACTACTTCCACATGGGCCAAATATAGCAGCCACGCAGGAAACAAATGTGTTGTTAGAGTCCTTCAGAGTGGCTCACTAAAGATCAAGCTATATGGGAAACAACCTAGTGCTATGAAGTCGATCCCCTCTCAACTTGATTTTCACAGATCTATAGCACTCAACAGATGATGTCATCAATAAAACATTGACAGCCTTTACTTCCCATAAAATTTCCTGGTACCTTTTTTTAGGCAGGGATGATCTAGGAGCAAAGGTCATTACACCTTCTACTCAACTTATGACTTATGCGAACTTACCAGCTATGAGACTTACGAAGTATACAACTTACAGCCATCCGCACTTAAAATCGCACAAATTAATAAACAAAAATAGTAAATGGGAAATAACTCAACGGGTCTGGGGAACTGATACCTAGAGCGCAGCAGGGTTTAGACATGTTTATATTACATACAGTAGAGTACATATTATGTATTCTTCCCATTATCTATAATAATTATATATAAACAGACTGCAGATATAACATATTTGTATGCAGACTGTTAGTTCCTCACCTCTCAGGCAGATGCACCCCAAATTCGACAGAATCACCTCTAACTGGTTTTTGTTTTACAGCAGGCTCGTTAGGGAGTCAGTGGATCTATACACCCCCCTCCCCCCTCCCCCAAATGGGAGGGGGGAAAATATGAGGAGAACTGGATATTTCAGAATTACAAAGTTAAGTCGCAACAATTTAGCCACAGACGCCGACTTATTACAACAAGTATTTACACAATTTTTAGTGTACAACAGAAAGTCATGAGCCTGAGGATTTAAGGCTGTAGCCAATAGCCATCAACTGTGCAGGTTAGGAATTCTTCTCCTACACACACCCACACAAAAAAGGTTTCCAGCCCCAGACAGAACCCATATGTGGAAGACAAATAGTCAACATAGAGGTAAAATAATAATGTGCTGAAGTCAAATTTTTTATTTAAAAGGCACAGAAGGCTCTACCGGCACCTTTAAGAGAAAAAAGCCATGAACAGTAACTATATAATCTATGATGTAAGTTGGATGATAGTGGGAAAACTATTTGGAAGTGGCGGAGATGTGGTTTTATAAATGAATGATGAACTGAATGGGTAAAAATAATAATGAAGATGTCTTGTAAGAAACAGAATCATGAAGAGAACTGATTGCCCACACCAAAAGGAGACAATCAACATTCTTTTAGCATGTCACGAGAAGGAGAAAACTGGAGTACATCATGACACCGGGAAAGTTGGAGATGAGGAGAGGCAGAGGGAGACTGAGAGAGAAGATGCTGGACAGTAGGACAAAGCATGGAAGTTCTGTGTCAGAACTGACTGACAGTACATGAGAAAGAAGGTTGTGACTAGACATGACTACCAACGCCACACGGCATGGACAATAAGAAGAACCTACAATGCATGTCACAGGAGGCATCTAAGGAGGGTTGGCTTGATACTGTGTGAGACCCCAACCTTTTTTTGTTTTGTTATTGTCCTTTTATGATAAGCACAGCAGGTCAGTGGAAGCCACCACTGTGTATAAGCCAGATGTTTGCCTGCGGATCCAAAGGTCATGGGTCCAGGGATTGCAGAGTTTTTTTTTTAAATGACCTTGGCTCCTAGGGCAACCCAGCCTCAAATGAGCACCAGGTAAAGTCCTGGTAAGTAAAGGTTGCAGGCGTGATGTTGACTAGATTGCCCACTGAGTGCTGACTGGCCCATAAAATATAGTTCTAGCCCTATATGCCCAATACACCTGAAAAGTGTGGAAAGGGGTCCTTTACTTTACAGCAGGTTAGTGTTACTATTCTTTTCTTCTCTTACTGGTTCGGGTATGACTGAGGCAAAGAATGACGAGATTGCTTTCTACTAGCTCAGTCACTTCACAAATCAATCAAGTCACATAATCAACCAAGAAATTCACTGTATATGAGATATGTCTTACACATACTGGTATCTAGGCAAGACCCTCACACAGTGCTGTAGGCTCCCTTTTCACACACTGCTGTACTTTCTTCTCACACACTGCTCCCTCACACACTGTTGTAGACTCTCCCCCCCCCCCCATCCCCCACCTCCACTGCAGACAACATAACTCTCCTCACATTTAGCTGCAGACTGCTCACACACTGCTGTCTTCACACACTGCTGTCTTCACACACTGCTGTCTTCACACACTGCTGTCTTCACACACTGCTGTCTTCACACACTGCTGTCTTCACACACTGCTGTCTTCACACACTGCTGTCTTCACACACTGTTGTAAACGTTCCCCTTCACACACAGCTGTACTCCCCCATCTCACTGCAGACAACATATCCGCCCCCCCTCCCCCACATACTGCTGCAGGCTCCTCTCTCACACATTGCTGCCATTTTCTGCCCTCACACAATGCTGTAGACACCCCCACACATTGCTGCAGACTTGCCCTCTCACAAACGGCTGCAGATTCCACCCCCCCCCCCCCTCCCGACGAGAGCTCACAATCAACTAAAAGTAGAGCTTTCACATGCCATTATACGCAGGACCTTCACCCCCTTGCGGACACACCCAGTTGATGTTCTGGCTTGGGTCCTTGATGTCACAAGTCTTGCAGTGGATGCAGTTCTGGGCATTGATTTGAAGACGATGTCCACGTCCATCTTCTGTCTCCACATACTCATACACCCCTGTCAAATATGAATGATAGTTAAAAAAAAAAAAAAGAACTAGTGTCAGTTCTATATGAACACTATTTAAAAAATGTAGGATGTTTCTATGACAAAATCTTCATCCCCATACAAAAAAATAGACATGATGTCAGAATAAATATATAAAGTCTTAACAGTCATCTTCGTCTTTGCGTGCAATGTCTGCAAAATACAGCGGCAGTGGAAAGTTCTGGTTGTTCATCCACTTCTGGATTTTCTTAATTCCAGAATCTGAGTTGTGTGTGCACATCTATTTGGTAGATCTAGCTTATTTTTATGCAGAAAGTTGGTTCATCGCTTCTCAAACAGATGCACTCTAACTTTAAAGGGAACCTCCTAAATTAGTTGCTCTTACAACATGCCAGTTTGGGCAGGGCAGTGTGTCTATTGTTGTTCTCCACATAAGGTCCGAGATTTAGATTACCGGGGATTTCTGATTCCATTTTCTTGAATTTGTCCCAATCAATGTTCACCGTTCCTGTGCCAATGAACACCACACAGAATGTCTGTTACTGTCCCCTGTGACAAAACTTGACACTTACTGCAGTCTCGGCAAAAACAATAGCACACACACACACATGCATTTTAGAGCTTTATTTTCTTTCTAAAATTTGCATTTTCCTCCCAAATATTTATATACACATACACAAGAAACATACCGGCGGGACAAAACCGCTGCTCTGGTCCATCGAAGATTGCCAAATTTCTAGCTACAGGGACACTGTCATCTTTCAGAGTCAGATGTGGCGGCTCGTCATGATCATGGTTGGTGCCGGTTAAGGCCACCGAAGACAAGAGGTCAAAGGTCACCTCACCATCTGGTTTAGGGTATTCCAAGCGCTTGCACTCAGCAGCTGGTTTCAAGCATGCATGATCTGGTTCTGCAAGCAGACAATTGGGATACATGAAATAATGACAGACAGAAAGGATGACTGTCGTGACATCTTCTTCTCCTTGTCCTGTCATCAAGTTATAGCATGGTTCCTGCACCTATTTGATACTTTTTTCATAACTGATCTAGCCTAAAATTGGTATCAGGTAATATCCTGGGAAGCAAAGGCAGCTGGCATGTCATTGACCAGATCACCAACTGATGATAACTGGTCTATAAAAATATGAGTGCACACTACATGCCCGATACACCATGGGCAACAAAAAGGGGTCTTTTACTTTTTGTGTGTGTCTATGGGTATCCTCTTTTTCTCCACTTTCGCGGCCGTAAAGTTCTGGCTGTTTGTCCACTTCTGGACTTTAGTCTGGTTCCACGACTTGAGTTTTGCATCTGTTTTTCAGATCTGGCTTATTTGTTTGCAGATTGCTGATTTCTCACCTCTTAGGCCCTGCACTCTGACTGTGAAGGAAACAGCCCTAATAAGTCACCTTTTATGACATGCTTGATAGAGGGGTAGTGGGTCTATCCTTTTCTTTAACCCAAAATGGGACCCCAGAACCCACATTGGAACTCATTACATTTGAAAAGAAGGCAAGCTCCTTGGCACTGTTCCATCTTTTGAGATCACAGTGTTATACTGTGCGAGAGGAAAGTATGGGAACCACACCCCAAGGAGCAACTAGCAAGATCTGCCCGTATTAAGAAAAGCTTTCCTCAAAAAGTACGGGGGACTTCAGGGCCATCATTCTCATCACCTTATCTGACATGATTTTTCTTAACTCATAATCTGTCTAATATATATTTTCCCTGTTTATTCCTGTTCCTTTCCTGATTCCCCACTCCATGCAACACAGTCCATGACATTCTGTTTGCAGGAATCCATCTCAATAACTGTATTACTCACATTCCATTTGCATATATCTTTATATGAAAGATAATCAATATGTCCTCCTCCTCCTGTTACTTCATCAAATTGTTTTGGAATTTGTAAGGATCTTCTGTGTACTTCTTTCCAATGCATCGAATAAGCTGGTCTTTATTTATCTGAGGCTGTTCTTGAAGCCACCATCTCATATTTTGCTTGGTCTTTCCCTTGCTCTATGTTCATTTTATTTCTTTAGCTTGGCTCTCTGTGGCAGCTTGTACATTCTCGTCAGATGGCAAAACCATCTCATCACTTGCTCTTTAATAAACTGTAGGACTGATTTCAGTCCTAACCTTTTTCTGATTTCTTAACTTTGTATTTGATCTATTATACACATTTTTTCTTCATTTTATACAATGAAGAACATTTTATGCAATAAATCTATGTCACTGGAGGTTAGAACAAGAATTCTTCCCTGCTTCACACAGCCAGTTTCAACATACGGCTGCGAATCCTGGACAATTACTGAAAAAAAGCGAAATTAGTAAATAAAAGACTAATATGGTTCTTGGAGACAAACTCGATAATCACCACCAGGCAGACAGGATACAGACAGCACAGAAATACAGAGGACCAGTGGATATATCTGACACAGGAAATTTAGAATGCCTTCCAGGAAAAAAAGAAAGTTCTTGCTGTCTTCTTTGACCTCTCTCGTGCTTTCGATACAGTTTGGAAAGAGGGCCTACAACTAAAACTGCTACAGGCAGGAGTTGTGCATAACATGTACAAGTGGATCAAAGACTTTTTTTCCAACGCAGAGCCAGATTCAGAATTGATGGACACGTCGGCAAACTGGCAAAACTAAGAGAAGGAGTTCCCCAGGGCAGTGTGATAGTACCAACTCTGTTCCTGGTTTACATAAATGATATCACAGCAACCTGCCACCAGAACGTTTATAATACTCTACATGCTGATGACTTTGCAGTTTGGACAGCCTCAGAATACACTTCCACAGCCTCATATCTGTTACAGAAAACTGTGGAAAATGTAGAAGCCTGGACCGAAAAGTGGGGTCTAAAGCTAAATAATTCAAAAAGCACAGCATCACTTTTCTCTTCCTCCAAAAAAAGAAAAAATCGAAATTTGGATAAAAAACCCAGCTCATTCCACAGACTGACACTCCTACCTTTCTGGGTGTTACACTTGATTCGCGACTAACTTGGAAGTCACATGTAGAAGCAGTACAGGGAAAAGCATTCAAGAAGCTTGCAGTTATGAAAAAATTAGCGGGTACCACATGGGGCACTAACTCTAGAATCCTAAAACAAGTATATACTGGAGCAGTTAGGCCAGTCATGGAATATGCCTCCACTGCATGGAGCCAAGACAACAATGGGAAAACTGGACAAGGTTCAGAATATGGGATTAAGGATTGTTCTCGGAGCCATGAAAACCACACCCATCAGAGAGATAGAAAGGATAGCAGATACTGAACCACTCTAACTCAGAAGACAATACAAAACTCTTTTACAGTATGAGAAATTAAAAAGACTTCAAAGTCACCCACTGCATTTTAAATTTCAAGAGAGAACAAAAAAACAGACTGAAGCGTGAGAGCCCCAACCACCTTGCTAGAGAACTGTACAGACAGCACCAAGATCTGCTTGAAAGAGATGTTGCACTGTGCGAAAAACTTAGGGCAGAACCATGGGCAAGCAAGCCAGAGAAAGCAAATGTAGTCCTAAAGGTACCAGGAATCACTTCAAAAGATGCCCAGACGGAGACACAACAGAGAACCCTGGCTCTTGCTATGCTTGATGAGAAGTATCCAAACACCACTTGGACTCAGGTTTTCACCGACGGCTCTGCTACAGAAGCAGTCAGAAAGGGGAGTTGGGGAATATACATTAAAGCCCCTAGCAGTAGAGCAGAAACTCTCTCTCTACCAGCAGGTGACATCTGCACTAATTTCAGAGCTGAGGCAACTGCCCTCCTTTCTGCAGTCCAACATCTCATCACTCAAGAACACAGAGGGCACCAAATTGTTATACTTAGTGACTCATTGTCTGTTCTCCAAGCACTATCTAGCAAAAAACAAGACAAACTAATTGCAGATCTAAGGACAAACATTGGCTTACTCTCCAAGGAAGCAGAACTGGTCTTGCAGTGGATACCAGCCCACTGTGGTATTCAAGGAAATGAGAGAGCAGATGAGTTGGCAAAAGCTGGGAGTAATCTTCCACAACCTCATCCACCACACAGCTAGAAGGAAACCAAAACAGCGCTAAAGCAGTCTTTTAAGCGGGAGTGGAGAAGGCAGAATGGAGATTACAGACCAGAGAGTGACAGCATAAACAAACTTAACAGGAAAGAACAAACATCAATTTTTAGACTTCGGACTGGACACTGTGGTCTTCGAGCACACTTGTACAGGATAGGCATAACAGAATCTGCTGCCTGTGATTGTGGAGCAGAAAGACAAACCCCTGAGCACATACTACAGTACCGCCCTAACCTCTCCCAGCAAAGACTGTTGATCTGGCTCAAGGGAGCCACATTGCAAGAGAAGCTATGGGGGACCGGTGGCGACCTTAAACGCACAATCCTATTTGTGACCCAGACGGGACTCAATGTTTAGCATGACTGATGTTGAACGCAGAAGAAGAAGAAGAACTGAAAAAAAAATCAAAACAATTTCTTAAGGCTGCAGAGATGTGGTTTTACAGAATCCTTAGAATTCAGGGAACAGCCAAAAGGAGCAAACCAGATATTCTGGAAGAGGCGAGGGCCCAAAGACAGCTTATCCCAATAATCAGAAAGAGACAGTCATCAGAAGGAAATCAGAATATTCTGTCACCACTGGAGATAACTGCGGAAAAAGAGAATGAGGAAGATAAGATGAGAAGACAGTCTCATGGCACAGATAGCACAAGAACTGCTGCATGCTGTTGGGGATCGCAGATTGTGGAGAGGCATGTTTGCCGAGCCAGTCAGCAAGGAACTTGATGATAATGCTGTCTTTTTATCTCAGTATGTCCAACATTATCAAACATAAGATCTTTCATGGGGAAATAAACAACACCAGTTGACACACTTACCTCCATGAGATAAGGTGACTGGTTCTTTCCCTCGCAGGAGATAGTACACAAGACCAGTGTAAGCTAAGCCTCCATAGACACCGAGACTAGTATTGAATGATGGACGTACATTCCGTACTGACTTCAACTCTTTCCATATCCAACTTGCTCTTATTTTATCCTCATATGATTCGGGGTCGAGACCTTAAAAACATAGAGAAAAATACAATTTTACTGAGGTCAGAAGGACCAATGAAAAAGAAGAGTGAGATAAACTCTTTCACCCCTGTGATCTAGAGGAAAAAACATTGTCAAGAGCTTGTATATAAGAAATTTCTACACACACACAATTCCTTGAAGAAAAATCATGTCACAAAAACATAAAATAATCAATAAAAAATATAAGCAGCAGAGTATTAACTGGCTTTTCAAGCCTTAAAAAAGATTAAACTGTGACAATTACTTGCCCCTGTGATCTAGTAATCCTATGACATGGGAAAATATGAAGTCAGAATTTATATAAATAAAGCCATGCAAACCCCTTTAAATGCTATTTTTAGCAAATGTAATAACTCCTAGTCCTGCTAAACTTTTGCACAGGTACAAACGGAATCAAATCTTTCGGTTAGGCTTCATGTAACCAAGCCACTACAGCAAGCCAGGGAAAGCTCTTAAGGGGGAATGGCACCAACTGGAAATGCCCAGTTTGGGGCTTTTCGAGGTGACAGGGGAAATCCACCTGGTACCTGAGGACAGTTAAATTAGTTATAAATCAATGCATGAAGCATTTCATGGTACATAATGAGTTAAAACATCAGTACCAATCAAAGCATAATGCATTTATTAATGATCTCTTATGCTGTGAACATTTCTGACTTTGTGGGTTCCAGGGACCTATGTTGAGGGGAAAAAGGATAGATCCCCATGCTTCCCCCCCCCCCCCTTTTCCCCCAACTAGCAAGTATTAAAAGACAACTCATTAGGGAAGTTTCCTTTTTCCCCCCAAGTTGGAGTGGTGCATCTACGCAAGAAGTGTGGAACCTACAGACTACATACAAACAGGACAAATCAGTAATCAACACTGCATTGGAGGATGAAGCATGAATGGGCCAGACTAGGATGTTGATATGGACAACAAGCATACAATCATTAAAGGCACATACCTAAAGATTAAAAATGCTTACATTCATTAAATTCAAACACCTAAAGATGCAAAGTGCATACAATCATTAAATACAAATACCTAAAGATGAAAAGTACATACAATCATTAAAGGCACACACCTAAAGATGAAAAGTACATACAATCATTAAATACATACAGCTAAAGATGAAAAGTGCATACAATCATTCAATTCACACACCTAAAGATGAAAAGTGCATACAATTATTAAATTTACACACCTAGAGATCAAAAGTCCAAACATTCCTTAATTTCACACCAACAGAAACATTAAACATACAAATCCATCCTCACCGGCCGTCTTTGAACTGGCCACCTTATGGTCATCTGTCAACGTTTCGAACACAGCCTCGGCAGCAAGCATGCCACTCTTCATGGCGTTGTGGATCCCTTTAATCTTTGGCACATTGAGGAAACCCGGACTGCACCCGATGAGACACCCACCTGGGAATGTTAGCTTTGGAATACTCTGCATGGTAAAAGACAATTTATCAATACAAAAGCCGAAACTACCTCTCTCTATGTGAAATGGGTAGACTTCTTTGCTTTCTTCCTACATTGAGGAGTTCCATAGTATGGTAGTTTTCAAGTTTGGCCGTGACCCCTCATGGATGGCACCTTCAACTTTAGTGTGCACTGTGGAAGGCTCAAAATGGACTAATGCCACACGAGTGGATACCATGCATCCGTACGCCAATATTGCAGAGAATCATGTAGATAATGTCCGGGAGATGTAGGAGTGTGAGGGAATGAAAGAGCGGATTTTCTGGCTACAATAGCGAAAGCTACGAGAACACACCTACTGGACAAGTGAGATATTCTGAAGACTATATATACATGACTGCTGACAGAAGACATGAGATTAGATAAAATATTCTGTTCAAAAATGTGTGAACAAGGAATTAGCTGTGGATCCGGCAAGGAGGGATGGATGAGAGGAAGAGAATGACGTGAGTATAATCAGTGTGCTACAGGAACAGTCAGCATCTACACCTCAAGACATAAGCTGCGGGAGACGGAGCATCTATGGGTATGCTTAGTGTGCTATGTTGTAGATTCTTTAATCAGTAATCACTTTGTTATGAGCTTTTTAGTTCATGGTCACTCAAGATCTACCCAGTGGACAATGGAGGTCTGTGATTAGAAATGGATACTGAAGTAGGGCTATGCTCCAATCAAAGGAGAATTCAGATACCACATTCCCTCTGCTATTTGAATTTAAACTGAGTATCTGATGCTTCCATGAAAGATAACAATAAATAAACAACGTCAGTTACGTGTCCTTTACAGGATGCTGCAGAACCAATTCAAACATTTGTATGTGTTTGTGATTTCACTTAGCTCAGTAGTCTGAAATTGCTGTCTCACTGGTCAGCTCTATACCACTGTTGAAAACACATAGCAGTCTGCTGCCAAATAGCCCACAGCTGGGATGTCAGATTAACAAATTGTGTTTGCAATGTGAAGTCATAGGGAGCTAGGCCCCTGACATATTAGGCATAAGTTATATTTCTCCTAGACTTATTATTTCATTATTATATTAATGATCAGTATTATAACAGTTAAATGGCAGCAGATGAGAAGGCAGACCAAGAAGATGGTGGAGAGAGAATATACTAGCAGCCCTACAAATACTCAGAATTTCTACTGAGATAATTAGAAGTGGAAAAGGCATGGGGTGAGCTGCAGAAGAAATTACTTAGGGTGGGTGAGTGAAATACTGAGAGAGAAGGAATTATTTAGAGTCAGTGAGTGAAATACTGAGGCAGAAGGAATTAGAGTGGGTGAGTGAAATATTAAGGCAAAAGGAATTAGAGTGGGTGAGTGAAATACTGGAGCAAAAGGAATTAGAGTGGGTGAGTGAAATATTGAGACAGAGGGAATTAGAGTGGGTGAGTGAAATACTGAGGCAGAAGGAATCAGAGTGGGTGAGTGAAATACTGAGGCAGAAGGAATTATAGTGGGTGAGTGAAATACTGAGGCAGAAGGAATTATAGTGGGTGAGTGAAATACTGGAGGCATAAAGAATTAGAGTGGGTGAGTGAAATACTGAGGCATAAAGAATTAGAGTGGGTGAATGAAATACTGGAGCAAAAGGAATTATAGTGGGTGAGTGAAATACTGAGGCAGAAGGAATTACTTAGAGTGGGTGAGTGAAATACTTTACTGACCACCTGAGACTTCACAGCATTCCAGGCAACCCAGCGTAATGTAAAGAAATGTAAAGTAAAGTGGATTAAAATTACGATGGGTGGGACATGCGTTGTTGTTAAATGTGGTTTAACATAACACTGGTTGGGACTGAATATCAAGGATCCTCACAGCCAGGCCCTGAAAAATGAAACACGATGATCACAATCATTCACAAACCAGCTGATTGCAAACCAACCAACCAGCCACCCAGACACTCACAAAAGCCATACATGGAAAGTACTTACCTGGAAACCACCCTCATTCAAAGCTCGAGCGCCATATCCTATTCTTTTCCCACTCTTGAAGAGTTTGACATGGTGTGGGTGGGTCTTCAGCTGTTGCAGCTCTTGGAAGGGGTTTACGTACGGGTTCTTGTAGTCCAGACCAATCTGTATAATATGGAATCAAAAAATGGTGACCACTTAATAGGAGACTGGACCCAAGGCAAGAATGCTATCCACTTCTCTAGGGTAGTTCCTAGAATTATAAACTTTATTACTACTATTTTTATTAAATTGCATATAAAAATTTAATATTTTCTGAAACTAAAATTACTACAACAAAAACCTGGTATTATCTCCTCATTAAACTGATGGCATCTATGGCTTAGATGTTGCGAATGTGCTTTGCAATACCGAGTTCGATCCCAGCCGCGGACGGTTTGTCTTGCGTCTTTAAACAGTGGTACTAAAAGCAAACCGTCCAGAAAGCAATGGCAAACTAAATTCGGCTAGAAAAACCACAAAATGCTGGCATTGGTTCTGCAATGTCCTGTAAAGGATATGCAACTGACTAACATTTACATTGATAATGAAAGCAATTTCCTTGACACCCTTCTGTCTGTCCAGATGACAGTGTTTCATTGTGCCACAGGGAGGCATCATCTTCTTCATGTTCACTTGCTGTAAACTCCAGCAGAAAGTTCTGGACTTTGAGTTTTGTGTGCACATCCGTTTTACAAATCTGGCTAATTTGTATGCATTCCAGCAGTCCATTAGCTACTTATCAGGCAGAAGCACTCTGGCTTCGAGAGAAACACACTCAGATTAGTTGCCTTTCCAACAAGCTTGTTAGGGGGGTCAATTAATTTCTCCCCCGAGGAAGCGCAGGAAGCCATGTTGAGAATTATCTTTGCTCACTACATTTATAATGAAGGCAATTTCCTCGACAACTTTCCATCTGCCCAGATGACAATGTTACACTGTGCTGTAAGGAGGTACCGAAATCCTCGACAACTTTCCATCTGCCCAGATGACAATGTTACACTGTGCTGTAAGGAGGTACCGAAATCCTCGACAACTTTCCATCTGCCCAGATGACAATGTGCTGTAAGGAGGTAATGAAATCCTCGACAGCATATCTAAACAAATGTATGAGCCGTCTCCGGTGTGAAGGTTGGCTTCGCTGCACACAATACTATCTTTACAAATATGATTTCTTTCAGACAGACCTTGATGAGTGTGACGTTCTGCGAAGGACCAGCTTTATAATGGTGATTTGTTGAGTAAAGAACTGACATTACCGCACTCGGGGCATTCCCATGCATGCTCCATCCTCATCTTCAGCAGCCAGCGCAGAGTTACAATACTGATGGCACCGGTCACAATTTGGTTATATGTCCATCTTTCTCTTTCCTCTGAGAGTAGTGAGCCGGCCAGACCCTCTGGTTACACCCAGGTGCCTCATTCTCTCCAGGCCATAATAATATTCTTTCTCTACCGATTCCGTTGCTTGTTCCCAAAGGGCCTTGACCACATCTGCCTTGTCATGTTTTATAATGGTAATGAGTTTCCCCAGCTTCCCGATTTTCCACTGTGGTTGCTTCCCTTTCTGAGCTTGATTGTTCAATTCAGGATCATCTTGACTGAACATAGGGCACACCCATTAGTGCTCTGATCCTCTCCTAAGTATGTTCCTTAGTGTTCTCACACTGACAACTCCTGTCTTGTATTGGTTAATATCATGACTGTGAGCTCTGGCACATTTCCCAGTTATGTTTGTCTAAACAGTTTGTCATTAACATGAAAAGTTCAGCCACAGACATTCCACTTCCTAGGGTGGTCTTGCCTGCAAGAGTATCTGTGGCAGGAAACTGAAAGAAACTAAATAGAATGCTGAATAGTTTGGTGGATGTAAGAATCTGTATGCTAACATGACTGCATGATCTCAGATTAGGGCATGACTGTGAGTTCTTTGAGGTCAAGAGACATTGTGACCAATCACGGGAACAATCAGTAGAGGTACAATAGGTTGGCTGCAGCGTCGGAAGACTGAGCAGGTTTGGTAATGCCCAATGTTCAGTGACATTAATTGTGATAAATAATGATTGGCACCTGTCTGTCGTTCCAGACAACAGTGTTACATTGTGCTATGAGGAGGAATGGGACTCACAACATATGGTAATGGCGTCTGTAACTAGCCGAACCTGTCCGCATTCAGAAACGACTTCCACAATTATAGCATAGGATTTCAGAACCGTTGTCATTTGTGTTTAATCTGTTTCTTCTCAGAAGCTTACCTCTCTCATCCTTTCTGCAATTATTTCTTCCTTCATTCTCTTTCCCTTTCTGATGTGCCCCCTGCACACAAAATGGTTCATGGCATCTTGTTTCCAGGAGTCCACCTCAATACATGTATCATTCATGTCCCGCATGCACACATCTTTCTGTCATAGCAGAGGTGACCCTCTACATCTTCTACCCATCTTTGAATCACCATAGAGGACAAATGATAGATAATAAAATACTGACCACAATTCCCACAGACACTAAAGGGGCATCTTCCTGTATATGGTACAAGAATGATCCACCATAAAGGTTTTTTCCATCAGTATTCTGCAATTTAAAAATTACAATTGTAATCTTAATAGCTTCGTCCATAGATAAATAAAAGTTTAAGTTAACATCAGATCCATTTCGATGCGGCAGGTTTTCAATCATCATCATCAAGTGCCTTGCCGACTGGCATGGGCGATCATGCCTCTCTATAATCTGCGATCTGCAACTGCGTGTATCAGTTAGTATGTTGACAATCATGACAAAAGGGTGTCAAGAATCATCTCGCACTGTCTTCCTCTGTCTCTCTTTGAACAAATCTTTCCAGTGGTTACAACTTGTTCCATTTTCCCTCTCCTCATAACATGAACCAAAAAATGATAACTGTCTCTTTCTGATGTTTGTGATAAGTTGTCTTCGATCACCTGCCTCTTTCAAAACATCCAGGTTACTCATCTTAGCTGTAGTGAAACTAAAAACAGGTATAATGTAAGGGGTTTGATTGGTTGGCAGAATTGGTAAAGTCCCTAGCCTGAGAAACGTGAAGTGGATGTGAGAATGGCTAAACACGAGACTATGTCAGCTCACCTGGGAACACAAGGTCTGGGGGCATAGCTGACTGGTAAGTCATTCTGTGACAGGACCCCAGAGAGATAGAAGTGAAAGTGGATCCAGCATGAAACGGAGTGAACATAACAACATGCTGTGTTACAGGATGATGATGATGACACCATGGAAGAGGGCACAGGACAAGATGGCTTGGTGTGACCTGAATGAAGGCCTATGCTTTAAAGGAGCAGGAGAAGGAGGAGTACAATGTTTTTAAAAAAGTAAAGGTCCCTTTTCCACGTCATTAGGCATATAGGGCTAGACCTATATTTTTATAGACCAATCAGTCCAAGATGGGTGATGGGGTCAACATCACACCGGCTACCTTTACTTCCCCAGACTGCAATCGGTTATCACCGAAGGCTGGGTCGACCTGGGAGTCACTGTCATTTTTAAGAAAAGCCTGGCTCCGCCAGGGAGTGCACCCACAACCTTCCAATCCGCATGTGTGCATCTAGCCATTACGCCATGGCGACTCCCAGAAGGAGAAGGAAAAAAAAATAATATGAAAAATGACAGGAAAAAACAAGACAAAATATGAAAAATGCTGAGAATATGAAGAATGAGTGTACTTACAAAAGGCCATCCAACTGTATGCTCAACCCGGCCAGGTCTATGCAAAGCTGGGTCCACCTCCCATAATTCCTTCAACCCAATACCATATGACTGATGCTCACAGTTTTTCCGTAAATCAAATTTCTTGAACAATGTTTTTGAGAGGTGACCATGACAACCCTCGCCAAACATTGTCACTTTGGCATTAAACTCCATCCCTCGCTGAAATGAATCCTGTAATGCAGAGACAAATACGCAAATATAACAACAAGATAACAGTTTACAGTTATTTTATCAATCAGGTGGCAGCCAGGGCAGTGCAATGGCTAAATGTTTGCCTGTTGACTGGAAGGTTTTTATTTTGAATCCGCACCAGATTGATTTTTTTATAACTGTCTTTGGCTCACATGTTAATTTGGTCTTAAATGGGTACAAGGAAAAGTCCTGAAAAGTAAAGGCAGTCGGTGGGATGTTGACGACATAGCCTACCGAGGGCTGATTGGTCTACAAAACTGTGAGCACCAGACCAAGTGGATCTCACACACTGGAGAAATGGATACTAAACATTATTATATATAAAGAACAGTATGTATTTGCATGGCATGCAACTCTACACAAGGGCGCGGCTACACATGAAGACAACAGAACAGCAAGATTAAGAAAATGATGGACACACAACATGCTCATCAGACTGCTGTTGGATTTGCAGATAGAAACAGAAGGGGTCAACTGGACTGCAGCAGCGCTATTTTAAAAAAAGTGTGGCTTTGATGTGGTGCATGGGCATCGAAACCTCTACACGTTCTAATGGGTCTGCCCCAAGGATCACCATTGTCGCTGGTGCTTTTCAATGTGTACACAGCAGGAGTCACCAGTGCACAAAGCGTAGACCTGAGCAGAACAATGTCGTATGCAAATGATATCCTTGAGTACCGTCGAGGTAGAAACAGGCATGAAATTACAACCACACTACAACACGAACTAGACGGACTAGTGGTGCTAGGAATCGAGAGCATAACTGAACCCATAAAAGGCTTCCTTAACATGGTTCCCACTGAATATCATCACTGTCAGTACACGAACACCAGTCGTAAACATGTGTGGTGTGGACATTGACAGAAGTCTGACAGCATTTAAAGTGCTAGCAGCAGCTGATACTGAACAACACCTACTTTTCCTTCTCTAAGATTTAATCCAGCAGGTATGTGACCTAGACGAGAGCAGTCGTGGAAAAGAATGGACAAATACACCAGTAGACATGCGCAACATCTCCAATTTTGTCACAACACTGGGTAGGTGCTGCTGGGATCGGATTCCTGCGGCTGTGGACACAAAGGTAACAGCACTGATAGATCAGCATTTACACCCAAAAGACATCATCCTTTACACAGATGGATCTGTAAAGCGCAGATCAAGGTCAGCATGGGCATACACAGCGCAAAGAATGGGGAAAGCAATATAAGAGGACAGTAGCACTTACCAGGCAACCATGTCAAGCATGACCATGGAGATAGCCGCTGCTTCTAGAGCTTCTTGCATGGGCAGCAGAGCAAACAGCCACACAGGCAGTAATTGTATCAGACCAGTAATTGTATCAGACTCCATGAACATGCTTCAGAAGGTAGCAAGAGGCAGTGTGCGCTTTGAATAGATAGAAAAATCGCACTTAAACCTCCTTCACCTGGATCTACACACTGGGTCATGCGGACGTAAAGGGTAACAAGTGAGCGGACCAACTGGCAAGCAATGCACTAACACATGTGGGAAGAAGTATGGACAGAGCAGATATCCTCAACGCTGTATGGATTGGGCTAGTGGATAATGACAAATCTCTGATACTAACACGATTGTGTGACATGAGAGTAAAGCATGGTGAGCACATCTATGCCGCCTTCGAGGCCGAGATAGGAGAATTTATAACCAACTCCTCATGGGAACAATTAGTAGAAGTACCTTGAGGTGACTGCTGCATCGGAGGACTTAGCACGCATGTGCAGTGATGTTGATTGTGATAATATAACATCCTCCAAAAACCCGTTTACCTGTTGTTTTTGTCGAGTACCTAACTCATGCCTGGTCAGAAAAAACCTCGTGACCCTAAGAGCGATTAGTTCACTAGTCCTAGTCAAGTTACTCTGGTCAAGGTATCTGTGTATCATTAAACATGCAGTCGCTACATGGTCAAATAAGTACTAAGTCCACCATTCACTATCATCATACACTGTCATCTCATAGCCAAACAGGACCCTGACCGTAGAAAGATACCAGGTCTGGCCAGTTAGCCTTCTGGTGGTGGGATACTGTTTACTGGTTGAGCTAACTGTTTGCTAGGTTTTTTTTATATTTAATACATAGATGACATTCTGAAAGCACACAGTTGGTAACGAGTAGACGATATCCAGTTATATTTTTTTAAACGCTTTCACAGGTGATCTGGTCCAGTCAGTGTCGACTATTAGCTAGCAGGTCCAGCAAGATAGGATGATATTTATCAAGTACAGAACTGATGTCTACTCACTTCCACACTCGTTACCTTTTAGTCCTGTTTCTTTACACACGTAATACACTCGATGGTTGATCTAGCAACTCTGATCATGGTGTTTAGACTTCTTGGTTGGTTGGATCTCATCGACTACCACTTCTGATTAGACTGTCGTCTGGCTGTCTTCTCATGAAATAGAATCTCCTTCACCTCTTCAAATATTGAGTGTCACATTCACTCATCTATCAGATACAACCTTTCACGCCAGCTGCCAAACACATACTAACTGATTAGACCTTGGTCTAACCTTATAACCCCCTCTCTGGGTTTCCCGTGCTGGTCTGAGCCTTGTTTGTATATCTCGTGTCTCTACGAGTATTGACATTCTCGTGTATTTCTCTCTTATCTCAAGGCTACTCCCATATTATTGGTGAGAGAATTCCTGTGGGAAAATCCCAACATTACAGGAAGACACCAAGCTGAATAGATCAGGGGGGATTACATGTTGCATTACAGCCTTCATAGAAGTCTGTGGCCTTCTCATGTGACAGCCTCTGGAAGAGAGGATGAAAAGAAGGGGGAAAAGACTAGTACAATATCCCAGTTGTTCCCTTCTCTGGACAAAGCAAATCATGTCATGTGGAATTTAGTTAAATTACCTTCGGGGACCCATCTTTGGCAATGCCCACATCATTGGTAGCTATACCCTTGACGCTGCCATCTTCATGGTAGAGGACCTGAGGATGAGAAGAGATGGCATTGATTCAACATCGCACCAATAGAATGCTTGGCCATGTCATCACACCACAGGGCTGTCATGCAGGAGAGCAGGCTTCGACCTTTGGGAGGAAAAGAGATGTTTTCTGTCAGGACAACAAAACAAATCTCAACCTGCACAGTTCAGGTTGACTGCACCAGCCATGTGCTCTTCAATCATCAAGTTTGTGACTTCTCTGCTTACTGCCTATTGCTGTCTATATTAACACTTTTGCAGTGTAGGTTGGGGTGGGGCTCTTTGAGCTTGAGGATTTAGGCTTGAATGGCTAGTGCTGTCGCTATGGACTGTACAGGTAGGGATTTTTGTCCTCAAGATGGAAAAAATCCACAACCTTACTGATGATTTGTATCTGGGTCTCTAACATTAGAACCCAGTAGTCTTAACCATTAAACCAGTCACTGCCCTAACTGAACAGTCCTAAAAGTAGTGGGTCAATGCACTGTCACATAACACTGGGTCAATGTCATATCACACTGCACTGGGTCAATGTCATATCACACTGCACTGCGTCAATGTCATATCACACTGCACTGGATCAATTTATATCACACAGCGCTGGATCAATGTCATATCACACTGCACTGGGTCAATGTCATATCACACTGCACTTGGTCAATGTCATATAAGACTGCACTGGGTCAATGTCATATGTATCATACAGCACCAGATCAAAATTATATCATACAGCACTGGGTCAAAGTCATATCAAACAATTAACTCCATGACATACCAACAACAACAGCCTTGTATGGGTCCCATGGGACCTACTGGAGGGAGGGGTCCCCCGGGGACCTACTGGAGGGAGGGGTCCCCCGGGGACCTACTGGAGGGAGGGGTGTAGGGGGAACAGAACCTCTTCCCCTCAACAAGCGTTTCATAAAAGAAAACTAATTACAAGTTTGCGAAATGAGATGTGTCAAGTTGAAAGGTGCAAATATCACAGCCTAGTTGTAAACCACAACGCAACATGCCAGCCGTCCTTTAAATTCTTTCAGTCATAAAGAACATATGATACGTTCATAGGTTCTACCCGGAAGGCTAATTTAAGTGTGATACTCTGATTTTATGTCTCTTTCATTTACCACTGGGCAGTTTATAAACATGAATCCATAACTTTGAATGGTATTTCCAGTTCTTTCAGATCAATAACATGTGCGTAGACCATTATGTTATTCAGAATTGTGGTTAAAAGAATAAAATATAGTATGTTTGTTGCATTATAGAGTGACAAAGTGTTTGTAAAGAATACTGCTCCTTAATTGTCTACTTCATGCACATCAATGCAAGTTACTATTTTAGAAGCTCCAGATGTTAAAAAAACACTTGGCTTCTATGTGGGAGACTTGGGTTCTAATCCTCAGTAAGAATGGGGATTATTTTGAAGCACAAACAAAATCCTAACCTGCAGTTTGTGGTGACAGCACTAGCCAAGCAGCCCTAAATCTTCATGCTTACAGATGCTTCCTCCTCCCACATAAGAGGTAAATACAGGCAGTGCGTTTATGTTCAAACGATTGTGCTTTTCAGTATATTCAACCGATTGTGCCTTTCAGTATGTTCAACAGATTGTGCCTTTCAGTATGTTCAACAGATCCCCATGTTTATGCGAGCCTCATAAACACTCTGCCATGGAAATCTAGCACCCAGGGACACAACCCAGACTCACCTCACTGGCTGCACAACCTGGATACAGTTCAACTCCGAGAGCCTCGGCTTGTTCACCCAACCATCTCACAAGGTTTCCCAGGCGTATTAGGTAATTCCCATAGTTGTTTAGAGGCATGCCTGAAATGTACGCATAATTTGTAACAAAATTCAGTACATGTTTAAAAACATAAATACAGAAAGCAACAGGGGGTTCCTAACACCAGGAAACTTGTAGAGGTCAAGGGAACGAATGAACGAACGAACAGATGAAACTTTATTTTTCAAAGTTCACAAGTTGGACACACATACCCATCTTATATTTCGCCCTTCCAAACATTTATCTTTCACTGTATTTTTATTATGTAATACACATATACAGCCAGCGTGATGCTGACCACCCATCTCACCAAGTGCCGATTGGTCTATAAAACATCCCAATTAAAGTTAGAAGAAGAGAATTTCCCAGAGGCCTGGTCAAACTATCATTTTTATGGGAATGTTCCAAAACTCTACCTGCATTCTACTGCAGCAATGGTATTTCAAGGAAAGAGATTTCCTTCTTCTCTATGTTCACTGGCTGTAAACTCCAGTAGAAAGATTTTGGTGGTTTGTCCACCTCTGGTCTTCGGCCTTGTTCTAGAACCTGAGTGTTGCGTGCACATCTGTTTTCACACAACTGTCTTCTTTGAGTGCAGACTCTTGGTTCCTTGCCTCGCAGGTAGATGTCCCCAATTAGTTGACTCCTATGACATGCTTGTTGAGCAGCAGTGGATCTTGTCTTGTTTTCCCCCATAACGGGGCCCTGGAACTCACAGAGAACAAGAACAGAGATGAAAAAAAGGGCCTCAAGGTTCAAATCTGCATTTAAGTATGCGAGCCTCTTTTTCTCTTCAAAAGTGATCTGCACTCCCAGGTCGACCCATCCTAAAATGGGAACTAGGTAACGTCCTTGGAAGTAAAGGCAGTTAGTTTCATGCTGACCATATCGTACATCAAGTGCCAACTGGTCAACAGAAATACAGGTCTAATGTGGCACAATCTAGTTTTTCCACACCCACCCAAGCTCAATCAGGTGTGCCTATCGGAATACATCTAATAGGATAAGAGTTTGCAAAGTCTATTACGTTTAACAACATGGCCAGTGGTGCAACAATCCAATGCAATTAATTTAAAAACAATGTCAATTTAAGTTCAATGATTGTTTCACTGAAACAATAATATGCACACTACAGTATAAATTGCTGTGACATTCGCTGCACACTGCAAACAGGTTATTGGCTGCTAAGGAAGTCTCTTCTAACGCACTGCAGAAATATCTTTTCTTCTAACAAAGTTTAATTCTCTGCCATACAGTAAACTGCTATCTTCACACGCTGCAGTTCTTCTCGACTTCAACCTGTTGGCTAACGCCGGTGGCCTAACCGACTCCTTGACCCTTTCACTCACCCGTCCTTGCCTTTTCCTCCTCTTCTCCCTCTTCCCCAATCGCCGCCCATTTCTCACCCCCGACACCTGTCAACCTGCCTGCCCAGCCCCCTCGATTCCTGGTTCATCCCGCCCCCTTGATTTATCTACCCGAAAGATCAACAGGATTCCTCTGTCTGTACCACCTGTTCATAGCAACTTTGGTTGTCATGCCCAAGCAATTCGTGTTCCTATAAAGTGATCCTGGCATATCTCAAATCATACCTGTTCACCCTCTGAACACTTCTTTCTTACACTAGCATGATCTGTGTAAAGTGTGAAAAGGGGCTTTGACAAAAATAAGACTGAGATGGACATTTACGTAACAGCAGATGAAGCTCTTCATACAAACCTGGCAATAAGGGGATCGGCAAGGCTGATGACTTTGTTAAAAAGTAGAACTGGTCTGATGTGACTTCCTGTGTAACCGGAGCCTAAAATTGAAAAGAAAACCAGAATTATAAACAAGTATGTATTTCAGTTTACACAAAAATGTTAGTAGTTACAACAGACAGAATGGCAGAAAACAGAGGGAGAAAAACTGTGTACACATTAAAGTTGAATAAGAGTAGACAAAAAGGCAGACCAAGAAGACAGTGGACAGATATGTCCAAGCAGGCCTGCAAACACTCAGACTCACCAAATGGATAGGGAAGGCCAGTCACAAAGATGAATGAAGATGGTTTATATCTGCAGCAATGAACCTCAAGGACTCAAAATGCTGCTGATGAAGAAAAAGAAGAAGAAGAAGAAGAAGAAGAAGATGGCTGTATCTTGTTTTTCTTCTGTGTTTACCCTCACAGAAACAGTTAGCACAGGCTACTGTGGCTTAGGGCTAGAAGTGATATCTGTGCCTTTCTGTCCAACATATCTACTTCCAGTAAGCCCTTTGTCAGTTGCCTTTTATGACATGCTTGAGGGAACAGTGGATCTAGTTCCCAAAGACAGACAGATAGACAAAGAACCAGAGACATGCATGTACTTAGGCAGGAGGAAAGGTAGACAGTTATCTAAGTGAATACATATGTGTGCTGGATAGATAGGTAAAACTGGATAAGCGGACAACATATATCAGACAGTTTGAACAAGCAGACAGGCAAGCAGACAGACATATATCAAAACAAACAGACAACAAAACATCAGATGAAGGATATAGTACCAAAACAGGCAGACATTATGACAGACAGATACCAAGTCAGCTATCAATACAGATAGATACCAAGGCAGAGAGACAGGTAGGTTAGTTAGCTGTGGCTGTGTAACCTTTACAGGACATTGCAGAACCAACCCCAGCATTTTTTGGCTGTTGTGGTTTTTCTAGGCAAATTTTATGTTTAGTAGTTTGCCACTGCTTTCTGAATGGTCAGCTCTTAGTACCACCAATTAAATCAACGCAAGCCAGTCTGCTGCCAAATCGCCTGCAGATGGAATCGAACCCAGTACCCTGGCATTACAAAACGTGCTTGCAACGCCTAAGCCACAGATGCCAATAACAGGTAGGTAGACAGATAAAAATAGACCTCACCCCCATGTTTTTCCAGTCTGGGAAGAGTTCATTAAGAGCTCGTGGCTCAAGGCAGGCTCCAGACAATGTGTGTCCACCTGTAAGAGATAGAGCAAATGACCAACACTGACCAATGATGCCCCCACCCCCACCACCCGACAGAAAACACACTGATAACTAAAGCAAGCTTCATTCAAAGTACATCTGCCTGAGAGATGAAGACCCAACAGTCTGCATACAGATAAGCCAGTTCTGTAAAATGGATGCGCACACAAAATTCATTCTTGGAGCAAAGCTAAAGCCCACAAGCAGATGTACAACCTGGACTTTCTGCTGGAGTGAACGGTGAACACAAACTTCTTCTTTTCACATTCATTCCCTGAAATTTAAGCAGCAATTTCTGCAGAACTTGCAGTTTGTGTGCACATCTATTATACTGGTCTGATTTATTTGTATGCAGATTGTTGGTTCCTCATCTCTCAAGTATATGCACTTTGACTTTGAAGGAAACACCCCTAGTTAGACAACTTTTCTGACATGCTTGTCAGGGGGGTAGGGGGCCAAACCATCTCAACTGATGCTCTTTAATGAACTGTATGACTGGGGCTAAGTTTTTTTTTTTTTTTAGATGGATAATTTTTGTTCAGAGGTTGCCATGAAAAAGAAATTTATACTTCCAAATGTATTTATACTTTCAATTAAAATACATGGGATAGACCCGAAGCATATCAGAAACATAATGCTATTTTTTTTCATTGTCCAAAAAGCACTCAGAAGAAAATAAATTAGCTTCGATGTGGATATGAACCCTAAATGTTTGGGCCAGCAGAGAGTGTCTAGCCACAAAACTCCTGCCGATGACTAAAACAACTATCATTACAGTTATGGCCTTGGCTGTTCACAGCTTTTTCTGGCTAGTATTTATTTCTGGTGGTCACATACATAATAGAGCTTCAACTGCCCAGGCACACATGTGATTTCTCTCAGTTATTTTGTGCATTCTTGTTCTATTTATGGTAGTGTGTTTCAAGTCATATGCTGATGAAGGCTCTCAAACCAAAACATTCATTTGTATTTGTGATATTGTGAAGCTGGCTGGTTATACTTTTCATTTGGTTTGAAATCTTTTCATGATTTAACTAACAGTTAATCACATCTGTAATGTGGGTTCCGGGGACATGTTTTAGGGTATTAAAAAAAAAGAGAAACCAACTGCCTCTCAAAAACCGTGTCATAAATGATGACAATTCAAGGGTTCGCGGAAATCAACAAAGACTACTTGGAAATGGTTAATGACATTCAAAAACCTATGTACAACTATAAGAAAGAGGCAGTCAGTGTTCTGCAGTCATATGATGAGAAGGAAGCTTTGGAGAACGTTGTGATGACTGGAAAGATCAATGGTAAAAGAGGCAGAGGTAGACCAAGAGAGAGACATGATGTGTGAAATGATGGCATGGTGGAATATATCACTGGAATGGATTTATAATACCAAGGACCGAGATCTGCGGAGGCACATGAGTGCCTACACTAGTGGGCAGACTCAATAATTATAATGAAATCAGATGTGTCGGGCTGAAAGACATGCATGTTGTGAGTCGACTAATTAGGATGTTTCCTTCAGAGTCTGAATGCATCTGCGATAGAGGCAAACACTTGCTCTTTACTTTTCCTTATTATCTATCTAACCCCTCTTCCCTGACTCTGTAAAATTCACTTGTAAACATCATAAACTTGTATGACATAAGCTATTGGGCACCACTATATAAACATTATTCTAAAAATAGCCCATAAGTCAACAAGGCTAGGAACCACTCCTTTAAAAAAAAAAAGGGGGTGGGGGTGAAATAACAATAACTTACCCAATTCTGAAGCCTTTTCCAAAACGCAGACCCTGAGTTCCTTGCCCTTGTCATTAGCCAGCTGTTTAAGTCGTATCGCTGCTGACAGGCCAGCTGGGCCTGCACCGACAATAAGCACATCAACGTCATCAGAAATCCTCTCCATATTCACACCTGTTGTTTGGTGAAAGTAGAAACACATTTGCACATATATATTTTTATGCCAACTGCAAAACAACAATTATCTGTCAAAAAAAACAAAAACAAAAAACACACAAAAAATACAATTAGGCCCTAGTCATACAGTTCATTAAAGCGCATCAGATGAGATGGTTTGGCCATCTGATGAGAATGACCTGGTACCAACTGCCACAGAGAGCTATGCTGAAGAGCTGCAGAAATACAATGGATAAGGGGCAGGGAGAAAATCACACAAAATATAGAATGACAGCATCAAGAATTGTTTGAACCTTTTTGCTCTGAGAAGCCAAAAACCGACACTTCCTGTGGGATCCAATTCCTCAAAAATGTCACTTTCATGACTGGTCTATTGTGAATCTGTATAGATGCGTAGTTAATGCTATTAGCTGAGTTGCCCCTGTGCAAACGTTAAGGAGGTCAGGATATTCTTGAAAAAGATGTGCATACAAAGCTCAAGTTGTGAAACTCTCTCTTTTCATACCCCACCAGGACATCACATAAGTGACAAACACTTAGTGAGGATCGCCCCTGGAGAGGTCCCAGAAACCCCTTTCAGCCACAAGGCCATATTTATGGCCTAGCTATATTCAGGGTCCCAGGAAAAAGTCAGGGTGTGGCTTCAAATAACGAAAAATTGCATCCCATATGGGCACGACTATATACATCAAATAAAGAAGAAGGTTAAAGTCAAGAAGTGGACGAATAACCATAATTTATACTGAAGTTTATAGCCGGTGAATGCTGAAGTTTATAGCTGGTGAATGCTAAGAAGAAGAAAATGAAGTTTTCTGGTAGTTAGAAAGGTACCTTTAATGTTCTTATTCTGCATTCACCATTTAAAGGGTACCTGGCATATTCTACTGTGGTTTACAGCTAACATGTGATATTCACTGCCGGACTAAAAATGAAATCAATGTGATTAGAATGCTCAACGTGGGGAATGGAAAAGACGCACACAAATACAACCAAAGTTTTTACCAACAACATAAACTGTGTGGAAATATTTAACGGACAAGACAACAGACTTCTAAACAATCAAGGTCAACAAGAAACCAAGAAATATGTACGGCTGGAAAGGTAGGGGGGAGGGGAGCGGTGACATGCAAAAAATAAATAGTGAAGAAAGCGCGTGAAAAAACAGGAGAGATATAAACAAGTTAAACAAATAAACAAAATTAAATATGGCTGCATTTATCTATGGCCCAGCACCCAACTTCAGCAAACCCTTGTTTTAGTCGTTGTTTACAAAAGGCTTGCTAAAGAACGATGGGTTTATTTTTTTCTCCCTTCCCAAAATGGAGCCCCAAGAACATACCTTTCCATCTTGGATCTTGTTCCCGAGGGTAAACTGTGTAATGTGTTGTAATTTTGGGCACATCTGTCGCAAACGACCTTTGACATCTCAGGATGTATGTAATACCTGGCAATAAATTTTACATCACATTTTATACAAATTCGACTACAAAATTCATAATGTTTAAAAAACCACAAATTACTGGCATCAAGATGCTAACAGACTGCAATGGTAAGGTTTACACAGAGAATGGCAGATAACAAATAAATGCAAAAACTGTCTAAAAAAAACAGCTGAACAGGAGTAGACCATGGGGCAGACCAAGAAGATTGTGGAGAGATAATAAACTTGCAGACCTGTAGACACTTGTAGTCATTAATTAGTATCCGAACTCTTCACTGGCTGCTGAAGATGGGGACGGAGAACTTATGGAAATGCCCTGAATTCTGTGATGTTGGTTCTTGAATCAACTCAACTCAATTAGAAAGAGTAGGCTAACATCTGAGATGATTAGGGGTGGGTAATATCTGCAGCAAAGAAACTCAAGGCTTGGAAGATGATGTTTATAAAAATTCTATTTTAAAAATAAATTATAAACATAATCCAGACATAATGGAAAACTGGACAACAAGCAGCACAGAAAATGAGATGACAGGGGTCAAAGAAAACCGGACAACAAACGTCTTAGAAAATCCGATGACAGGCATCATAGAAAACTGGATGACATGGGTCATAGATGACAGTATCTTTAAAATATGATGACAGGCATCATAGAAAACTGGATGACATAGGTCATAGACGACAGCATCTTTAAAATCTGATGACAGGCATCATAGAAAACTGGATGACATGGGTCATAGACAACAGCATCTTTAAAATCAACGACAGGCATCATATAAAACTGGATGACATGGGTCACAGACAACAGCATCTTTAAAATCTGATGACAGGCATCATAGAAAACTGGATGACATGGGTCATAGACAGCATCTTTAAAATCTGATGACAGGCATCATATAAAACTGGATGGCATGGGTCACAGACAACAGCATCTTTAAAATCTGATGACAGGCATCATATAAAACTGGATGACATGGGTCATAGACAACAGCATCTTTAAAATCTGATGACAGGCATCATATAAAACTGGATGACATGGGTCATAGACAACAGCATCTTTAAAATCTGATGACAGGCATCATATAAAACTGGATGGCCCAGGTCAATCTGGCCTTAAATCAGGTGAAGTCCTAAGGAATCAGGCGACCAGCGTGACATTGAGTGGTCCATCAAATATTGATCTAACCCTATATGACTGAAGGTGTGCACAAGAGCTCTTTGTTTTACTTTCATCCCAAAGTAGTTGTTACCTCAAATGTTTCTATCTCTTCTTTTTCTCCTTCTCCATCAACCTCTGGTCAGGTGCTTAATAATCCCTTGAGGGTCATAAACTGGGATGTTAGTTCAAGGTATCTCAGGTTTCCACGAAGCTTTATTGTCAGGTGTGGTGGGCCTGGCCACATGCGGCTCTGGAGCTCCTTCAGGAGAGGGCAGTCTTGCAGGACATGTTCTCTAGTCTCAGCATGAACAAACGAATGACAGTTTAATTTCCAAATGTTATGTTCATATGTATGAAGATACTGGAAGAGAACTGTTTGACTCATACCTAATTTCTACGAGTGGTTGTTGAGAATGCAATGTTGTATGTGTAAGAGAAAAGTGTTGACTTGGTCTCTTATGGCAGTGTTTGTTAGGTCTGCAATATCCATCCAGTGCACAAGTGGTTTCTGTTCCAAAGACTGTGTACTCTTCAGTAACAATCACCGTCTTGTAGAATTAAAATAAAAGTTCTCTATAATGTGGATGAGAGAGGCCAAAGCTGCTGGACTGCACTGGTGGATTGTAAGGTGGGTAAGTTGCCCTTTTACATATTTAAAAATATTAGTTTAGGGACTCATTTCGCCAACGTTTTCTTTAGGTCAGCGCCCCTGTGAGTAAACTAATAAAACAATGTTATTTGTCTAGCATTAAATATGAAATATTTTTTTTAAACTATCACTGAATAAATAAAGAGAGTGTTACTTACATTTCTGATACAAACGCATGTTTAGTGTTGCAGTGACTGTCTTTCAAAAAAATAATTTAAATTATTAATTATTATTCCCACACATTGTAGTATTTGTAGACTTCACACTTTGAATTTCAACCCACACAGCAAATCAATTAACTCTTACATTTCACTGTAGATCAAAGTTTGATATTTGTGATATGCTGTCTTCTTATCTATGTCGAGTCTCTGGGTACGGTACAGTAGATTGGTCCAACGGTCGCTGAAGTCGGACTTTGCCCCCACAAATACAATTACGACGATCTTCACGTTCTCGTTCTTTTTAGACTGGCAGGCGATTTTGGTTTTTTAATACTTAGAACTTGCACGCCCATGAAAAAGGAGAACAGGAAGCGCCTTTTATTAACAAATTATTCGAAAGCTTAGTTTTTCTTTTGGTATTTTTAACCAGTCAGAACACTTGCGTTGTTGTTTATGCCTTTTATTTCGTCATTTATTCCATTAATTTTGTTGACAGTCATCTGAGTGATTAAACGACTAATCTAAATCAACTTAAATATTGTTTTTCCCATTCAAAAACACAGAAAAACTACAACACAAATCCCTGCAACCAGTAAAACAGATACAGTCTTTGAAATGTACAATATACAAGTATAAACAGAGAAGACAGTTCGCACCTTGTTTTACAACGTCTGCTCGCAACCTGCAGGTCGCCATGTTTGTTATGATCTTCATGATCCTATTTCCGATAGTCGTTAAGTTCACTTTTATGTAATTCTCTAAATTATCTTTCTGTATCTGCTGTACTGTCAATAATATTGACAATATTATTATATTCTATATATTGTCCTTTTATCTGACAGTGATTAATTAATTTATATTGCCGGGGAGGAAAGGAGGGGAGGGGGGGGGGGCAACCTTAGTGTGCTCACAAAAACCTTGCAGGCTATAAGGAGGGGGGGGGGGGCAACCTTAGTGTGCTCACAAAAACCTTGCAGGCTATGTAAGGCCGACACTTGAAATAGGGATAGCTGCTTAAGGCACGACAGATAAATCAACAAATTGTCATAAACTTTGAATGATTCAGAATCATGCTTTCCGCATTATGACAGAGGCCATGCGCTCCAAGCCATGTCAAACATGGAAACAATTACTGGACTCTGGAAGACAGTAGAGTAGACACAGCTCTGCGCATACGACCGTTTGAAAGAAAACCTACGCACAGCCGACGACAGAAACCCCAGAAGGCTAGACTGAAGAGAACATGTTTCATAAATACGAAGTTTGATAACATCACACTTCCGCGCAGTGTACTAAATGTGCCACTGAAACCTAACAACCGCTGCTCCCCCCCCCCCCCTTTTTCCGGTTTAGGGATAACCCGCCAACAGTCAGACCCACTGTAACAGGGATCTCCTCCAAATCATTTATGAGCATCACTGATATGACGTCTTTTATAGACGGAGAGATCAACAGACTTTATCCAAACCAGAGTTAGATTAGAGATTATACCGATGGTTCAGTCAAGAGAACAAGAAGAGACGAAGGGTGAGGAATATACATAGAATGCCCAAATGGTTTAAAAACTGAACAAGCTGTACCAACAAGTTCATGTTTCTCCAATGATTAAACAGCGACAGATGCACTTCTGGTAGCATGTTCCTTCCTGAATGGTCAACAGCACTGCAAATATAGCAGTGCGGTCTTTCTGACTGATGCTAGGTCAGTTCTACAAACAGGTGTTAACCCAAAAGACACTCAGTTTGTAGTCTAACGCAACAGCTGATTCACTGAGACTCTTTCGTAGAACAGTCTGTACTACAGTGGATTCCAGGTCACGGTGGCCTGGAAGGCAATGAAACAGCGGACAGGTTGGCCAGAAATGTCATTGACATGGTACAATCAAATTGTGACCTAAAACACTAGCCAAGAAAGGTGGCTGGATACGCACATATAATTCCCTCATAAAGTCTCCTCTCATCGCCTCTCTAGAGAGGGACAGTGTATTATATTCAGGCTAAGGACGGAACACAACAGATTTCGTCAACATTGTTCAAACTTTTCAGTGTATGTAAGACGGAGATGTGTCCCATATAGGATGGCACCAGAAAATCCTGAACATGTGTTTCAACACTGTCAACTGAATGTGGCCTGTTCCAGCCTCAATGTAGACAAAGCCATATGGTACATGAGAAGATATAGACTGCACGAAAACCTCCATAAAGGCTAATGGCCTCCTCGCATAAGTTTTCTGACAGAAGGATAGAAAAAGAAGTTATGAAAAGAGGAATACTCGCATATTAAAGACACAAATAACAGATCGCAAATATAACACTGCAGATTTTTTAAAAATACGTGAAAGTTAACAGATCAGTTTCATTATTTAGGTAGTAATTTTGAAAGTTCGAGAAATTACTATATAAGAAATTATGATAGGCGTTAGCAAGGCGTCTTTAGAAGCCTAAACAAAATATTGAATTAAAGGTAATAGTTTTGTCCTCCTCATCATCATAAACCACTTCTGCCTTTAAGCGCCGTGGGAAGGAATAATTTGCGATCTAGTGCACGCTGGCTGCCACTGGCTATTGTCATGCCGTGAAGGCATAGAGTTTCTTTAATGTTGTCGATCCATGTTTTCCGCGGCCATCCTCTTGCTCTTGTAGCTGATCTTCTGAGATGTAATGCTTGTGATGGTATTTGATCTTGCTGCATTCTAACGTGATGGCCAAACCTCTCAAGGGGTCGTTCCCACAATTTGCCTGATAGTTTCATTATTCACTCGATCTAGTATGGTTAGGTTGGCTGCTTTTCTCAGACGCCTCATCTCGCAGGTGGTGATTTTGCGTATATGGGCTTTAGATAGTGTCCATTTTTGGCACTGGTAGCTCAATGTTGGAATGAATATGTTATTAATAATCTGTCTCTTTGCACTCATAGTTTTGTAAGCAATTTATATATAAAGTGTTGTTTAAAGATAAACATGTACCAGTGAAAGTTGGAAAGCCACTTAAAACGAGGAATGGTGCTACACTGGAATCCATTCAGGATATAAGAGGGG